TTGCCGGTCTCACCAATGTTAACAATCTCATCTTCCCGTCCGGCATCCGCACGATCGAGCAGGACGCCTTCGACGGCCTCCAGCACGTCGGCCAGCTCAAGCTCAGTTACATGGATCTGTTCGGGCTGCACGCCTACACCTTCCGCGGCCTGTCGCACGTGCACTCGATCTATATCCAAGAGAGCGATCTCGGCGTGGTGCAGAGGAACGCGTTTACCGGTCTCGTTCACGTCGGCCGTCTCAATGTGCTCAACAACAAAATCGACCTGATCGAGCGTTTGTATCTGCGCCACGAAAATTACATCGAGGTCCTACGTTTCCACGGTAATCACGTGCTGGAGGCACCGCGCCAAGCCAAGGACGTCGTTCTCGAGGTAGATACGGTCAGCGCGGTCGATAATCATTTTCCTTGCGACTGCCAGGCGCACAACGTTCTCGAGAGCGATTTCGCCCGCGGTAACAGTGTCGAGTTTCAACGCCGTAACTATTGCATTTCACCGTTCGAGTACAATGGCAAGCCCATGAACGTCGTCGACTTCGACCTCGTCGCGCGATGCCACGATAACGTGATCCAGGACAACCTGGGCTCGGGCGTCATCGGGGTGTCCCGTTTCTCAGCGCTGCTGCTGATTGTCTTCCTGTTCTCGACAAATTTCTTCCGATGAGCGTACTCGCAACTCTTCCTATTTTTCGATTATCATTCCGCGATTTTCATGCTCAAGGCGACGATAATTTATGTGCTCTTACGACTTGTATCGAGAGATCTTCCTTCTTTGCCATCTTCCTCGACGGAATCTTCCTTTTGCTGCGGAGTCTTCATTATTCGGTAAAGTTGACGAAGCGAGAAGACGTTTCGTACGAATTTCGTTATAGGGGAAGGCCGGATGGCATCGGACATTTTAGGTTTCTTCGAGATTTCATTTTTTTGGTACAACAACAAAAATTAATTGTATTATACGTTATATGAATCATTATTCTTATCTTATACCATAACACTTCTTATCGTACTTTTTTAAAACTGAAATAGCCAAAATTTTTACATTTTTAAACATCATTATATTTTCTTGTTTTTGTAAATTGGAGAATGGTATCGGACTGAAATATTTAAGAAAAACATGTTTGGTAAGTGTCACTATTATTTGTGCATGACTCTATACTATCTCCTACCCCGCTTCAGTAGCTTTTACTCTATTTCCTTTTTTAAACAGAATATTATTCTTGTTTCTTTTATTGTTATTTTCTTATTTCTTACTTTCTGAACGGCTAATATCATGTTTTCTCTTCTTTCTATTTTCTTCATATCTTCCTTAGAAAAAACAGCTATCAGAAGGCTGTCCGATACCGCTCGCCACCTTTATTGTTCGATATCACCCGAATGATGCGCAACAAAAAAAACAACGTGCAACTTTAAAACAAGAAAGATTTAAAACTCACAGTTTAAAGAATAATAGGTGCTGTTTATATTGGTGAACTAAAAACGAAATTCGACTTACATTTAATGCGATATGATTGGTTGATAAAGTTACTCCGTCGCCTTAATAACAACTACTCAACAAAATGCACAATAGGGAGTTTTTGCAATAACGTGAATCCTGATACGGTGAACGCTAAAGTCACGTTATTCTTTTTTTAATTAGTTGTTAAGAAGAAGATAACGTGACCTTAGCGTTCACCGTATCTGAATAAACTACAAAAATTCCCTAATAACTCACAAACATTACCTCTATTCTCAGTATGGAGAGAACTCTTCTGATTCTCACATGCAGATGCACTTACCAGTGACTTGATAAATGCTGCCACACGTCTAAAATTCTAAAAAATTCTTGTCCAATACTACTCGATCTTCCCCTGGATATATTATCATTGTAGAGTATCATCGAATTGATCTTCTATGATCTGAAAGAAATTCGAAATAAATAAATAAAAGAAGAGGAGTCTCGCGATTCGAAGTAATTGACAAGCCGCAAACTTTAACGAGATCTCTATAAATTTGTAATTAGCAGATGAAATTTTAATTCGAGATACCAAGGTGTAAATTTGTCTTATTATTTCATCAAAAACGACAGATTAAATATATATAGAATTTATCTAATTTTAACTTTTAACATTGTGGATTAATTGCTTTAACATTTAAAAAATAATCCAATCATAAAGAATTTTTTGACTGGTTTTCTGGCTTATTAAAAGAGATTCTTTCGAATTAAAAAAAATTCTATTTTTTCTGAATTAACTACCACTCGAGTATGAATTGGTCTTGAAAATGTAAAGAATAGAAAAATTCATTAGCTTTTGCCTTTAATTCAGTTTCAATGAGTGGTATATCAATATTCCATTGCGAAAAAATCCCATCCGGAGAGAATAAGAGCTCTTTATATAGATTGTTGTACGATGTGATATTTTTCATCCTTAATTTCATCGAGAAAAATATCACCATTGAAAGGATATGAATACAGAGATGGAAAAACTAAAAAAAGATAGCAATAAAGGAGCTTCTGTCACCGTAACATTTATCCGTAATTATTATTCTCGATAATATCGAATCGAGATGTATGGACATTCGCGGACATAACGAGAGATTTATTCGCGTGAAAAGCCACTGTTACGGTTGTACGAGCAGAAAAAAGCGCGGCTAGTCATTAATGCCAAATGAATACATATCCTCTCGCACACATGAAAGTGAACAAACGTGATCTCACATATCGAGAAGATCGATTTATCTAGCGTTGAAAATACTTCTTTGTTCTTCGATCTTGGTAGTATATTTAAGACGAGTATATTTATAGTTCTATTACATTCATCTATTATATAGTTGAAATATTGATATGTAAGTTATTATTAGTTGTATATTAAGAGAATTTTATACTGTTATTTATACCATTGTCGCGCATATGATTTAGTTCAAGCTTTCTTCTTTATCATCTGTGCGATATGCATTTGATGCTAAATGTAGTTTCCTACAGCAGAACAAACGCATGTTTTTTTTAAATTGAAACTCAGAAATACGCGTTTAGCGCTCATATGCGTAACAATAATAGGCCTATTTTTTATAGGCATTCCTTTCATATTTTCTTTCGCAATCAATCGAGACAGTGAATTCCGCAAATTCACGATCGTCGATCGCGCGTAGCGTCATGAGAAATAAAACATTATACGAGCTTTAACTGGCCGGCATACTGGACCAGCACTGTCGCATTTACTTCGAATTTTGCGTGAACACGTCATACGTTTTTTAGGGACATTAAATAGGAAAAGCGAAAATATAATGGAATTTTATCCACTAACAATAAAAAGAGGGCCTCTGATTTTACACACATATATACAGATACATCGTAATTTAAATATTAGTTACTGACAAAATTTCGCGTTATGATATATCTTGACATAAAGATACAATATTGAAAAAGCTAGATATATATAAATATATAATTTTAGAGAATGAGTATTATCTCTAAATAGGTCCACTACAATTTTACTTCCAGGTCCAGGAATTCGAGCTATGCGCCTGTACGTTCATACCTGCTTTACGATCTCATTAGTATAGATTGAGGGATCATTAAATAATTCGGAAATGAGATGAAAGTATCTAGTGGTTAAGTAATCACATTTAATTGCGTTGACGCGCAAGATCATTAAAGAGGAATTGAGATATCGAAATTCCTCTTGCTTAGAATATTACGCGGTTTAAAAGGAATTGGCGGACTTGTGGTAGAAATCGATTTTTCAAATTTTATTGAAAAACTAAAAATATCAATTTTAAAATAACTTTAAAGTAATCCGTTTACAAAATAGACTTGATAAAAATAAAATAATGTCCAATTTTGAAGAAAGAGAGACAAAATATCTTGTTAAACAATTTATTATCAGTAACAAAATTCTGTATTGTTCCAAATAACTATTATGCCACTAGATTTTGCTCTTTAGGTATGTTTTTGTCAAGACCTTTTAATCCGTGTATAAGAACGCAACGTATTTCGAGACGAAAGTGGATAACAGTGTATCACATGCTCAACATTTTAGACGAATAATTACTATATGAAACATTTTTTTTTACGCTTGTACGCGTATAAAAGTCAATGATAACATCAACGAGATGAGGATTTCCATTAATGTGGAATTCTTTCGTAACATTATTGCGATGTTGATCTCGTCAGCGTTATTTTAGAAACTGCTTTTACCATTCTACACATTAGAACTGCATGAAAAAATTTGTTTTTATCAAGGCCGGTAAAACTGACGCATTATTAATTAGACAAGGCATTTGACTCCCTAAAAAGTCACGATATACGAAATGCTTTTGAGTTACATTTGGTAAACAGTCGTATAATACAGTTTGTATAAAACAAATATTTATTGTGCCAACGTTTTCTATTAACTTGATATTATTAAGTCAGGTAAACACCTGAGAGTACGAAGGAAAAAAAGAAAGTATGAAGTAGGAAATTTTAAACAATATATACAACAGAATATTTTGTTCTTCAGCATAATAAAGTTCGTGAAAAAAATATTGCTTCATAGATAAAAATACATTGGCGTCCAGAGGCTATATACTGAACTGAATCAGAGTTACGAGATAATGCTATATTATGCTTACAATTAAAAAAAAAAATAAAAACACAATATAAAGCGTGTTTCGCTGCCATTCGTATGGAAGATTTGCTTGGCCTTCGGTCAGCATAACAACCGAGGACCAACCTAGCTTATATTTTTTACCAATGTTTGAAATAGCGTTTAATAGACACGATTATTGAAAACTGTAATCTTTCATTGTAGTTAGACTGTCCCGTCATATAATAAATGGAATAAAACATTAATATCGTCTTATGTAATACCCACAAATATTACACAATTTTCAAGTGTCTTTGAAGATTCCATGAGAAACGATTTTTTTTATCATTATTGTTATATGATAAAAGATTCGATAAATTGATTCATATTCATTCAAAACTGATAGAAGTGGAATATAAATGTTTAAACAATTTAATACGTATATTTGAGACCGCGATATTTAATTTACAACATACTCTTTACAACAAGCATTACTTAACAGTAAGAGTACATATTTCATTTTCTATATTTATAATAATCTAGCGTATTGTTAGAAAGCATTTAATGAATTGGAACAGTTGGTGGGTCCGGAATAGGATCGAACTCGCCAACACTCTCCATATATTGAACATCTTTACGGTACGGTTTCAACTCCCAGTGCATTCGTGATTCCATCGTCGTTAGCGCAACGCCAAGATCTTCTAGAGTTGGCAATTTATTTGATACTACGTCAGATATAGCTTCCTACAAAACGCAATGCCAAATTTAATAATACTGTTTAATTTATCATGTAATTCTAATTTTATTAGAGTTTACGCGTTCTCTCATAGGAAAATTAAAATGTACCCTTTCTATACGTTCCCACTGTAAATATCCGAGTGGATACGCAGGGCTTATGTATTCGTTCAAAGTAACTTTAAGATAGAAAGATGGAGAGTATTTTAAGTGTACTCTTTTGTAGCCTTCCTGGACTGGATCGCGTATCTGTATTCGATGGAACCAGTCAAGTAATTCAGACAGTTTATAACGTTTCGGCCTACGCAAACAAAATATTCACATTTTGCAAAAACAATCATGATAGCGATAAACTTGTACAAGTGTACTCGTTCATACCCAACAAACTGATAAGTTTTGCCAGCTGTGTTTCTAGGATCTCTTGCAATAGCTGTAATACCTCCGGAGACATCGTATACAGCTATTGGCTGTTTTTCCGTCTTTTCACCCTTTTCCCATAACGGTACAGTTAATGAGCTGCCTAACCTACAAACAAATTGCATTGTCAAAGATCATAAGAGTACAATTTTTAATAAACTAGAAAATTTATTCTTATGCAAACTTACTTGAAATGATGTCTTAATATTCCACAATACAAACTTAAAAATCGATCCTCTTGACCCCATATATCCGACGGCCGAATAATTGTAGCCTCAGGAAATTCTTCTCGCACTGCATGCTCGCCTTCCCATTTTGTGTGAAGAAATTCAGAACCGCCTTTCAATACATGTGACTTAATACAGAAATATTATTAAAGCACAAAATTACAAATCGTATCATAAATTAATATAGAATAGAAATGTGATTTAAAACTTACCTCCACCTCGTCGCCCACATTTAACGCAGACATATGGATAAAGTGGTTAACATTAGCTTCCTTGCACAGTCTAGCGAGTCTCCTGGCTCCCTCAACATGCACCTCGTGAAAAGTGAAGTTTTTAGTTTCCCAATCTTGTCCAATTAGATTGATAACAACATTGGAGTACTTGATACATTTTCTTATCGATTCGTCGTCACGCAGATGAAACGGATGAAACAAGATTTGTCCCAAATCTCCACAGAGCTTCAGAGGCATGCAATCATACGTATCACCTCTGTATGGTATTATTAACTGCAAATCAAACATGACAATCAAACAGCTGATTATATTATGTTTCAGTTATATTATTGTATTGCAATTGAAATTGGTGTCACTATAGAAATTGTTATTGTCAACTTCCTTTATTTCGTATGTACCTGAGTACCAATTTTGCCAAGGCGATTGCACACATAGCGTCCAACGAATCCAGTTGCACCAAACACCGTGCATACTATCCCGTTAAAGGAACTACGGCCACCTGTGCCTCTCTTTAAAGAAGCTGTAGTAGGATTTGTGATGATTTCTGGTTGTGACGAGTAATGATTCGTCTGCACCGCAACGGCCGCGATGCATGTTGTCTGCTTTCCTGAAATATACACAAAACAAATATAAAATAAACTCTGTTTGGTTACATAATTACGAAACGCTATCTGTCACACAATGTGCATATAAAAGAATTATGGGCAATTTTATGTAAAACGTTTGTGTACTTCGATTTTAGGAAAGGAGCTAAATATTACAAAAGATGTAAAAAACATGACAATCTTACTTGCTGCTTGTAGAGTATACCTCGGAATCAAGGCGGCCATCTTTCTCGGCCATCCATATGGACTGTGCATTGTGCGGATTGTACCACTGTGCGCCGCGTCGAGTGGAATTCTTTGACGCGCAGTTAATTGACAAGAGTTAACTAACGTTGATATAATATATATATATTATTTTTCAAAAGATTGCTTAAATGAAGTGAATCAAGTGACTTAAATCCACATAATATGAAAAATTATGCATTAAAAAAATTTATTCCAGTCTTTTAATATCCAATCTTTCATATATCATTTCTTGTGAAATCATCTCTCATAAATCTCTCATAATCATTTCTTTTCATTCCATTACTTTCGTAAAAACAAAAAGTATAATGAATATTTTAAAATTTATATTAACTGGCTTGTCAAATAATATTTAATTGTATTAATTAAAAAATTGGTATTAATTAAAAAAAAATGATGTTGATATTATATATATTTTTAGGATATATTTCTCTGCATAAGAGCGTTATTATAATTCATATTACATCTTGTCAAATCTCCAAATATTGAAAATTGATTGGTTATCAGGAAGATAAATATCCAGAAAATATATTCCAGTAAGAGATAACATAACTAAAAACCGAATTTAAATTTTGCAATCTTTTGAAAAATATAACTTCTAGTTTTAGGATGAGTTTTGGAACACAATCTCGCAAGTAAAAATAAGCGACTTCTTTCGGAAAAGTTGTACATTACAAAAAAGTTCAAAAAATATCCGATAGAGGACTCTGTAAACAAACGCATTATTTCGCGTTCCAAAGCTCATCGAAAATAAACGTTGTAAATGCGTTCCATGACCTATCGAAAGATGGTTTTTAATATTTATTTTTTATCGTTACATTGAAAAGCGCGACATTTGAATCAGATTCAGTTTGCATCATATTATAATAATTTCGAAAAATTTTGAGGTTACCGAAAGACGCGTATTCCAGTTTCGATTATCTTCTTTTCAATTACGTTCTATTTGATGATTTGGACAAACTGTTCTATGTGATATAAAGACTGACACTAATATTTTTGGAGTAAGTGGAGAGACTATGTATTTCGCAAGTATTCTGCCAATAAATGTCTGACGGATTCCGATTTTTTTATTGTTGTGCATGTGTGGTTACAAAGTAGTAAACAAATGAATGAAATAAGCCAAATTGACAAACAAAATTACAGTAATTTTTCATTATTATTAGATGTTCTTTATATATTGCTTGCCAATGTAAACAGTACTTATGATCTTCTGTGCAGTCTATCTAATTTATGTGTACTTATATGTGGGTGTGTATATTGTATTATTTTTTGTAATTTCGCATGTAGTCTGTTGTAATTAGTTATTTTTAAAATATTGATCCTCTTGTGGTATCTTCAATAATTGTGTTACGATATGAGATGTATATATTGTTATGTTGCAGTTAATTAAAGGGACACAACAATCATGACTACGACAGCTGTGTATAATTACATGAAAATGCAAAATAGACCTTACAGCGTGAATGACGTAGTCACGAATTTACTTAATGAACACAGTAAAACTGCTGTTCAAAAGGCTATGGATGAGTTGGTGAAAAATGGAAAATTATTCGAAAAAGTAAAAATAGGTTTATAACTTTTATGACAGTAGAATATATAAAATATGTATGTTTCCATTTTATCTTTAGGTTTATGGCAAACAGAAAATATATTGTGTTGTGCAAGATTCACAATATGACACTGATGAGTTAATGAGGATTGACAAGGAATTACAAAGTCATGCCAGTGAGATCGAGAGTAAATATCAGGAAGTCATGAAAGAAGTGAAAGAACAAGAGACACTTTTAGCTTCTCTGAAGTCAAGTTTAACGCTGGAGGATGCTCAAAAAGAAAAGATTACTCTGCAAGAAAATATAAAGCAGTTAACACGTAAATTGGATAAACTGATGGAAAAAAGTGGTTCTGAAGATTTGCAAGAGTCTAAACGAAAGGCACAAGAGAATCTAGACGAATACTCACGCGAATATTTAAAAAGAAAAAAGATATGCATTGAAATACTAGACTGCATTTTGGAAAGTTATCCTGGTAACAAAGATGAGCTTTATGAAGAAATAGGCATAGATTCAACGGCTGTATAATATTCAGTATGATAATCTTGGTTCACGAAGGTTTTGGAGTTGTAATTATTATACAGTATTTATTTGTTGTTTTATAGTTTCTTACATATAACATCATATTTATGTTTAATAACAATAAGTTGAAATGATTAACGTAATGTATGTATTATATGAATTCATTTACATATGTATGAAAAAAGTTATATATATAAGTTTATTGCAAAAATTACATATGAAAACACTTATGCTGAGTTAAATAGAATTAGTTTAAGTTGCCAAGTATATATATGCTGCAATATTATTTAATAATTTTTAATTATAGCAGACAAATCAACATTTAGTTTGTGCGTTTATATTTTTTTGATAGTGTATAGCATTACATAGGGCATTTCAACACTTATATTTTCTCTGATTATAGATATTCAAGCCATCAGTACAATTAGTTGTATTTCTACAATTATTTCAAAGTTTGTATTTAGGTTGCAGGATGATGAAAATATTGAGCACTTTTAATTTTGATAATTTAAAATTAAATTTCGCTGAAAACTTAATTTCCAATAGAAAATCTAATGTAAACAATTCGCATTATTAATAAATTTGTAACATTAAGAAGTGAAATTTTTGTTTGTCTAACTATATATAATTAAGAGGGAATATGATTACAGTTTTTTAATTTGTTGTATGTGAAATATTACAATATTTTGATATGTGTAGCTTCCTCTACATTTACAAGCATAAACTGCTGTGTATAGAGGATTGAAAAATTTCAATCAGGATACAACATATTCTTAAAAGAATATAAAATATATCCCTAATTTATAATATATAAAGCATATCTCTTTTTGTTCTTATATAACACTCCCATTTCAGTAACAGCATAGACATATCAGCGTGTACGATTCCCTGTAAAATAAATTAGAATATAATTAAATATAGATTATATATTATACCAATTAAATATAGAATATAAATTAAAATATTTTATTTAAAAAAGAAAGAATATTTATTTAATTGTTTATCATGAAGTTTTATCTTGTGCTAGAAAATTGAGTGCAAATATTAAAAATTAAAGGTAAAAATTAAAGAATCAAATACAATTATAAAATTGTTAATAATAAAAAAAGATTAAATGTTTATTTTCGTAATATAATTAGTAATATAATTTCAATGAATTTCAGATTTTTAAAAAATATAGTTTCATTGAATTGATTTTACCTCGACAACATTCATATTTATTATCACACGAAGAGTTTCCTCTTCAATTTATTCTTCAGTGATTTCAGTAAATTCGTCCATGGAATCTTTCTAATCGTTTGAAAATTGAATTTCGGTAGGAATTTCTCAAGTAATTTCCTCTTTTCATTATTCTTTTCTTTGATTAATATTCCTACCAGTACACATTTGCCATTCAGACAGATCTAGAAAGGTATTAGATAAATACTTTATGTGTGTAGCGCTAATATAGTATATCATAATTAATTAATTATAATGTCTGTAATTATAATTTTGCAGTAAATATTTCTTACAATCTTATTTTTATATTATTAATAATAATAACTATTTTTAAAAAAATTCAGTATTCAAAATAAAATAAAAAAGATAACAAAACTCACCAAGTCATCCCCACAAGAAGAACCTTCCGCTGCTGGCGCGGTCGCTCTGCAGTAACCCTCAATTCCAGGATATTCACAGTCTAAGCGAGTACAGGCCGTGGCATCTTTCTATAAAGAAAATATACATTATAAATGTTCTTAAAATTTGTTCAAAGTAAAGTTGATTTTTTATATTTTATATATGTATACTGAAATTATATATATGTCAGCTTTAAGTTTAACTTACATTACACGCCGCTGTTCCGAAGACCTTGTTACACTGATCATCCAAGGACATCAAAGTCCCGGGCAAAATACGCGTTACAGATTCACCCATTACAGGCTCGTTGTAAAGGCACTTCGCTCTATCTTGGCTAAAAAATAATTCTTAAATTAATACTTTTATTTAAAAAAAATATGCTTACGTTCGCGCCATATATACTTTATGAAATTATAGAAGGCGTGTATGGAGCACGGGGACCATTCGAAGCCATTCTCATCCAACATCAGTCCGCTGGTCATGATGAAACCATCATTAGCCGGACAATTTCTGGCGCCCTTCGGATTGCCATCGTGACGTGCTCCTATCCTGCAATGTAAAAAAAGTCTTTTTGTTATCGAATGTCCAAATTCAAAATTGAATAACTAATTATTTATATGGTGAAATATTGCATATCTTTTTCTTCCTTACATATATTTTAGAACTCTGATTTTTATTCCGTTTTTTGAAGATACGTGTAAACGTTTATCCATTTATATTCACTTTCAGAAAAACGTTTACTTGTAATTACTAAACGTTTACACGTATAATTAGCATATCCGTTTATTAGAAATGTTTTTTCGAACATACGTGTTTTAAGTCAGGGCCTGATATTATGTGTTTAAACGAGAATACATTTACAGTATATTTAGTTTAGCACATTCATCTATGAAAACCGCCTTGTCAAATATTTTAACGTTCTTTTTTTATAAAATTAAAAATCGATTTTGTTTTTTTTGTAGTTTAACATTTTCTTATAGTTTAACATTTTAAAGTGCGCTTTAAAGCCATTGTACACAAGCCGACGTAAAGATTTACTCGTAGAATTAGTATATTAATTTATTAGAAATGTTTGTCCGAATACACTGTTTTAATGTTATTTTATATGCATATTTTTTCCGTTTTTACTACACTCAAACGTCTTTTTTACATCCAAAAAGATTTTTTCAACCCGTCACACTAAGATGACTCCATAATATAGGGATAATGTTTATAAAAATGTGAAAATGTCCGAAAAAACGTTTTTCGTAGATGGAAATGCTAAATGTACGTGTAAACGTGTTTTCGTCGTAATAGCAAGCTCTAATTAATATATTTATTTTATACTATCTTTAATAACGCAGAAGCTATAATTCATGTGTTTTTCGTTCAGATCGCATAGAATTAAATCTTCTTTCTGACCAAAAATTGTAAATACTATTCTTTACGAGGTTCTTTCTACGGTGACAGAAAAAAACTACAAAATGCATGCAAATATATTAACTTACAGATGGCCGACTTCGTGAGCTGTTACGATGATACCGGAAAATCCACCATTATCTTCAATCATTCCTACGGCTTCGGATGATTGTTTTGTTGCGTTTCTGTCGCATGCACCGGCTACGTAAGCGTAACCTGCAGCCACAAAATTTATTATTATTTTGCAGAGGATTGTAATTAACAATACACGGAAAGAGCCGTATTTGTCATACACGTCATCTTGGCAGACTTACCCAAAGTCGATGGTTCGCAATAGTCATCAGTAATCATATTGCACAAATCTAGACTGAAATTATATCGGATTGCATTATTTTTTTTTGTCTATGCGTCTTATGATTTTTAAGTGATTCTAGAAATTAAGCAAGCAGACATGTACGGGAATTACCGGGTACTTACTTTGTCATAGCGATCGCTATGTCGTAAAAATCTGTTGGGAATCTACTCTCGCGATAAAAGTAATCTCCCATGCTGCGTAGAGCACGATCCGCATCTACATATGAAACTTCGAAACGATTGTTTTCTAAATACGGAGTTGCATCCTTATCCTAAAATATAACGAAATATTACGTTAAAAATAATATATATTAAATATATTAAATACTTCATAAATATTATTTAATTCAGAAATTATCTTCTTTTAAATTTTTAAGTAAAATAATTGAAAGATATTTATATGTCCTAATGTGTGATACACGTGTATTTGAATGAAGGGTTTGAATATATTTTTAAATATTAAGCTAAAACTTACAACGCTTATGATTATTCCTGCGATATTAAGCCGAATTTTTGGCGTGGTTAGCAAACGATATCTCAAATCGACTCCGTTCCAAAACGAAACAAGATATCTTACGGCCTGCTTTTAATAAAAATTAATAAAAATTAATAAATGTATTTATTATAAAATTTATGATTATTTGTCATATATATAATTAGCATATACTTCACTTACTGATATATACTATAGTCGGCTACTACTAAAAATTCTGGATAAATGATGTCTGGGACATTGCGTTTCACTTCTTGGCCCTCAGGATCTGTAATTTCTAAAGAACCACAAGAATATTTAATAAGACACCTGTGCCCGAACTGAAATTTGCGCGAATCTAAAAGGGAATGTACACGCGAAATTTTTATGTAAGTATTCAAATAGCTTACTAAAATCTTTCTGATCTGAAGAAGGCATCTTGTACACTACGTGATGATATGTGTAAGCGAAGTCATCGTTGTTCGTCACGTTCTTCTTATAAAGCGGTTCAAAGAGTTTGCGTCCTCCGTAAAGAACACGATCCAATATTCGTCGCGGTAGAGATTTGATGACGTATGTATTGTTAAGCACTCCATTCTACAGAAAGAAAAGCGTTATTGATTTACATTTATATGTATTAAAAAAAGAAAAAAATATTTGATTTTGATAGCAGCTTTGAGATATAAATAGAAATGCAATTGGAAACTTTACCAAATGAATTTGACCGTCAGGAGTAGGAGTTAGCAAAACTGAGCTCAAAGTGCGTACGTCTTGAAGAATGACTCCTACAGAATCCATAGCCTACAATGAGAAGGTAATAATCACAAAGAAATTTTTTCATACATCCATCTCGCAGTATTTTTTTTACTATTGTAAAGATATAAAAGTTGAGAGACACATACCTTGGGTATTTGCTTGTATTGCAATCCTTCGGGTGCTTCTGGATTAGATGAAACGGTCCACACGGGTGTATTCTTATTAGCGAGGATTCCTTCCGTGGGATTCAAGTACAAGTTGACGTCGTCGTTGAAAACCTTTATCTTGAGTTCGTTTATATCTTCTTTCATTTCCTCGTCCTTTGACATGCGATGCAATACGGGCACCACTTCATATTCAGGTACTGAAAGTTAATATAAATTAAGAATATACAAGCTAATGCAAATAT